CTTGCGAGGGAGGGAGATAGGAAGTCCCACTTCTGGTGAGTGAGGGACTGGAAAGTGCTGGCTGAACTGGCAAGGCCGAGGAATCCAGCTGACAAGGGGAAAGATTACCTGACACCGGAGGAGGGGGAGGGATCAGGGGAGAAGACACCTCGTCTGCAGCCTGAGTAGGGGTCCCATCCGAAATAGAGGTTTGGGGAGGAGGCACTGAGTTGAGAACCTCATCCGGAGCTTGAGCTGGGGTCTCTTTGGAAGTAGAGGCTGGGGCGAGACCCTTGCTCAAGGCCTGAGTAGGAGCAGTCTCTAGAGCAGGGGCTTGGGGGGGAAATGCAGGAGCCAGAGCAAAAGGGAAGGAGAACCAAGGGAAAGGGGGATGGGCAAGTAGGTGGGAGCATGGGAAACAGGGAGGGGTAGGGTGTAATGCAGAACATTATTTTACCATTTAGGTAGTAGCCCTTTAGGCCATGGAAAACTCCAAATTCCTTAGCAATACCCTTATCTGGTTGCTCAGGCTCCAGCCCTCAGATCATATCTCTGGAAACCTCCAAATTCCTTAGCAAGATCCTTATCTGGCTGCTCAGGCCACAGCCCTCAGATCATATCTCTGGAAGCCTCCATTGTGAGAAAGTTTGCAGAGCATTATCATATCTAGATACAGGGAGAGGGGTGTCCTTGAAAAAAAAACTCTTCCTCTTGCCAGACTTCAAAGATCCATCCCCCTCCCTGTCCTGTATACTCCCTATATAAACCCTGGCTCGACCCCTGATGAGGGCTGCTTGATTTGGATGTGAATATCCCTGGCAGCCGCGGGCTAATAAAGTCCACAATTTAAAATCAGCTTGGGTGGTCAACTCGCTAAATTTCTTGGTATAACAGGGGAGAATGGGGAAATGCAGGGGGGGGGGTCAAGGGAGAATAGGGAACAGAAGGAGGGGTCTGGGGAGAATGGGGAGCAGAAGGTGGGGTCTGGGGGAATGGGGAACAGCCAGGGAGGCCAGAGGAGAATGGGGTGGAGATAGGTGCTGGGGAGATGCTGCCGAGGGAGGTTGGGAAGATGGGGTTGTCAGAACCCTGGGAGGCATAAGAAGAGGATCATCCAAAAGGTCTATTTGATCTCCACTCTCCACTAGTGGGGTGGCTCTAGCTACCAGCATCTTACAATCCTTTCTGAGAATGGGGTCTCTAGAAAGCTCAACAAAAGCCATGAAGTAAGAAATCTCCACCCATTTTCTTTCTCTGCGACAATATTTTTCTAACTGTGAGAGGGTCTTTAGCCGTAATGTCCCCAAAAGGGGCCATGACTCATAATTTTCCAGGTGATACTGAGGCCAAATGGTGTTGCAAAAATGCACCAGCTATTTCTTTTTAAGTTCTTTACAGAAGCTAAAACTTTTCCAATTTTGTAAAAGACAGCCCAAAGGTGAATTCTTGGGAATTGAAGAGGATTGACCCATTGTGGGCTTAGGGGAAAGAAAAAAGAAAAAGAAATATCCAACAGTTTCCCAATTCCCTAGCGCTGAGAGAACTGAGAGGTCTGGACCTAACCCTTTCTGATAGGGAGTACGTCCTCTGTGCTAAGGAAGGTATTACCCAGGTCCAAGAGATGAGGGTCTGGGGCCTGTGAGTCAGATTCCCTTTGGGGCAAAGGGCAAAGATCTTGGCTGCGGGGCCCAAGCCAAGATCTTCACCCTTTGCCCCAAAGGGAATCTGACTCAGGCCCCAGACCCTCATCTCCCTTTGAAAGCCTTAGGCTCCCTTTGGTCTATAGGCCCCAGAAAGGCCTTCTCTGGTCTCAAACTGTTCCTTATCGACTTCCTTTATCTCCTTTTGAAAGTCCTAGCCCCACCTTGATTTTGTGCAGATGCCTTTCAAACTTCTGCCTTCCTGTTCCCTCCATTATCTATTCCCATTGTCTATTCAATCTCTCTGACCTCCCCAATTAGAATTCTTACCTAGACCCTCTTCCCAACCCCCTTCTCTGGCCACCCAAAGTTACTTTAGTATTTAAGATCCACCTTGGCCCTCATTCAGATGCTGAGAATCTCACGCTCAAAAGGCTGAGAACCTCTCATGCCCGCTCGTCTTTACGGGCGTCACCTGGTCAATGTGATTTATCACTAATAAACTTTTTCTCTGGCTGAAGAAGATTTGAGTTGAATTCATTCAGCAGGGCCCGGTACCGCGATCTTGGGGTCCCAGCACCCCAAAACCCCTAGACCTCTTCAGCAGGAAAAAAATAATTAACCCAGAATTAAGCCTCACTTACCTTCTAGGTGCTTTCCCTGAGTTAAGCAAATTTCTTTCAAAGTAGTTTCGGTTAGTTACTTAACACTTGTTAATTTATGTGACTCACTTTATTCTGATATTTGCTTGATTGCAGCAGTCTGGAAATGGAGCTGCAATATCTCTAAGGTATGCCTGTACAGGCTGTGGTAGTACCACACTCAAATAAATGGAGATTGAATCTTGATTATTAAAGAACTTTCATGAGAGTGAGGTCACAAGGGGCTATAAAATAAATATCAGCTAATCACTTTCTTGTCTATCATGCTCTCACAGTTCAATCTCCATTTATTTGTATGTGGTACTATTGTTCTCCAGCAGTACAGCTTGTATTGGGTATAGCCAATATTGTGTCCCTGCTGTATTACCCCTCTGTAGTGCTGGACACTGTTGGCCACCATCTGATCCTGGATCTCATCTCCTTTCCTCCCCGGGCTTTCCTGACCCTACTCTGTTGTGCTTAGCCTTCTCTTCCCTATCTGACTATTGATCTTCTCAATCTCCTCCTCTTATTTATATAAGTATACCAAAAGGCTCTTCTTTTTTCTCTCCATTTAATAGTATTTTCCCCCAATTATGTAAAGCTAGTTTTCAACATTCACTTTTATAAGATTTTGAGTTCCAAATTTTTTCCCTCCCCCCTTCTCCAAGATGACATGCAATCTGATATAGGTTGTACATGTACAATCATATTAATATTTCCACATTAGTTATATTGGGAAAGAAGAATCAGAACAAAAGGGAAAAAGTGTGCATTTCTTCTTTTTTTCTTTGCTCTTCCTCTTTGTTCCATCTCATTAGCTCCCATGAGTCCAAAGACTACCTCTCTTCACATAGCTTCCAGATCTATATACATAACCCTCTGTCTCTCTTGAGCTCCAGTCCCCATGGCCACCAACTGCATGCAAACACCCCCAGGCACATGACATTCAACATGTCCAAAATGGAACTCATGATTCCTCAACCCACCCAAGACCCCCTATCTTTTTCTAGCTTTCTTCTGCCAAGGTCACCACTATCCTTCCAAGTCATCCAGATTTATCTCAGATGCTTTGCTCTCCTGCACCCCCTCCCATATCTAGCCAGTGGCCAAGCCCTAGCCATTGTCTCTCCGTGGCATTTCCTGAATCTAAACTTGTCTACTTTCACCACTATCACCTGAGTTCAGGTCATCGTCACCTCTCACCTGGATTACCCTGATAATATCCTAATAGACCTTACTCCCTTGCATCTCTCTTCTCTTCAGTCCATCCTTCACATCATTCCAAAGTTGATGCTCTCAAAACACCAGTCTGGCCATGCCACTGCCAGACTCATTAAGCTTCAGTGGCTCTCTACTGCCTGTAGGAGAAATGCGAATGCCTTTGTCCCTTAAGATCTCTTTATGCATACTATACCCCAGGCAAACTGGTCTGTTGCTCTTCCCTTATACAGCCGTCCATCTCCCACTTCTATGCTTTTGCATAGGCTGTTCCCTATGCCTCGAACACTCTCCCTTCTTATCTTTGCTTCTTGGAATCCAAGGGATCGAGGATCAGTTCAAGCACTAGCTCTTACATGGTCATTCCTGATCACCTTAATGGTTAGTATTTTCTCCCTACCCCAAAGTTACTTTGACATATTTTAGGTTGATTTATTGGTGTGCAGTTTGTGTGGACAAAATAGGATGTAGGCTCTTAGTGGACAGAGACTGGTTTCAACATTGTCATCACTCCCACCCCCACCCCCACCCCCACCATCATCATCATCACCACCACCACCATCATCATCACCATTAACCTTTTTCTGGAGTTTAAGGTTTGTAAAGCATTTTTTATACATGATCTTACGTGATCATCCTCCAAATTCTATGAGGTTATTATGTCCATTTTACAGATGAGTAAATTGAAGATGAGAGAAGTTCAGTGATTTGCTCACAGGTAGAAAGTATTAGAGGTGAAATTGGAACCCAGATCTTCCTGATTCCAAGTCACTCTAAGTCCAGCATTCCATCTGCCACCTCTCCATTGAGATAATAAAGAATTGTTAGATTCTTGCCTCACATCCTTAGGTGGTGTTATTTATGTCTTATAAATCTCTCTCTCTCTCTCTCTCTCTCTCTCTCTCTCTCTCTCTCTCTCTCTCTCTCCCTCCCTCCCTCCCTCCCTATCCCCCCTTCCCTCCCTCCCTTCCTCATTTCCTCTCTCTTTATCTCCCTCCCTCTCTCTCCCCTCCTTAACTTCCCTCCTCCTTCTTGTCCTCCTCCCCAAACATATTGCTTATCCTTCCTTCCTCTTCTCCTCCTCACCTGGGCAGAACCTGTCAGATAGCTTATTTTTGAATGGAATTAATTTTTAATGGGCTTTGCAAACTTTAAATGGCTACTTAAAATGGCATTTGTCCCTCAGTTTTACAGTAAGTAAAGCCTGGTGCCATGGGAGGGTGCTGCTGGACTTGGAATCAGAGGATCAGCAATCGGCAGGTCCCCTTTGACACTTACTAGCTACCTGACCCTGGGAAAGTCACCTCACTTCCTCTAGGTCTCGGTTTTCTCTCTTGTAAAATGAGAGGGTTGGACTGAATAGTCATTCTGAGGTCCCTTTCAGAACTAAATTTCTTATCCTCAGGAGAGTGGAATAATTAAAAGGTCCCGGCTTCGGGGTTCTGGGCAAAATGGAAAGAGTACCTCATCTCGGCCTTGAGGTGAGCTCTGTCAGGTGGTTAAAGTTCCATCTCTGGCTATGCCAGCCACACCCACCTTCTCTGAACCCGCCCCAGGCTGGCGAGGTCTTTCCTCCCAAGCTGGACACCTAGGCACAGTCTGCTGGCGCTCCAGCCACAGGCTGATTCGAACACAGGCAGCTCTTTGTTCCCCGGGAGTCTTTCATTGCGGAATGTCCTTGGGGCTGCTTCCCAAATGGAGGTAAGAGAGGCGGGCAGAACTCGGGGCCCCCAGGCAGCGGTGGAAGGCTTAGGCTGACTGAGGTTGAATAAGAAAGCTCTAATATGAGTAGGTTTTAAGATAAGCTGGAAGGGAATGAGCCTTCCCCTGGCCCCCACATTATTGTTTGGTTTTTCAAAAAACACCCAAATCATCTTTGCTTCAGCTTTCTGTGATACCTTTTCCATTAAGCAAGACAAAGTTCACAGACTGGATTCCAGGGGGTAGGCACATGAATAGTTCCTTTTAGGCAGCTCTTCTGCCCTGGCCCCTGAATCATGGATGCTCGGGTGGAAAAGGCACATGTCCCTCCCTCTCCCCCTGCACCGCTTGGCAGTTTCCGCCTGGCGGCCTTGCTCATCTTACTGTTTGAGCCCACCAGCATCTAGCCCACGGCCAAACATTTGTGTCACCGCCCCCTCCCCGCCTCCCCTCCAGCCTAAGCGTGAGGTGTTAAGATGGCTTGGCCCTATGTGAAGGTTTCTATCTTTATGTCCTTAGGAAACGTTCACTTTGAACCGACATTTCTCCCTGCCTTTCAGGCAGTCAGAGGTGACTGTTTGAAAGCCTGGAACCATCTCAAGATGCTACTTCAGAGGCTGGGAAAAACAGCTTTCTGCCCCTGCCTCTATCACAAAATGTTCCCAGATTGTTAGAAAGACAAATACGTTCTCCTAAGTGTGGAGTAGGGGCATGAGGGGGGAGAGAGTCCTCCTTCTCCTCCTCCTCTCTCTCTGTCTCCGTCTGCCCCGAAGTTACTGCCAGGCTACCTGGTTCAGGCATTGCTTTCACTTTTTCTTAAGTTCTTAAGTGAATGGAAGAATACAGATGTTTGGGACAAATCTCCAGATTCAGCTTGATAATCCTACCCTCTAAGGACCTCACTCTGCCTCCTCCCTTCCTCTCCTGCCCGGTAAGGAAGTACTGCTAACATTGTCATGATTTGGACATAAACCTCATAAAGACATTACAGAGAATCCAAGGCGAGCTTTTAAGCTTGTCGTTTAAGGGACAAGAAAACAATCACCTGTGCTTTGGCCTGGTTCTCTTGCTGCTACAGCAGGAAAAGAAAGCAAGAGGTAAATCTTGGGGGGCCTACTTTCCCTTTGAATAATAAGCAAGTGCAGTGTTTTTTTTTTTGGTGTTTTAAGATTTAATTAACTTTTTTGGTAAGGGTTGTGAGGAATGGGTTTAGTAAAAAAAAGTTCAGTAGACAAATGCACATTTTAAACCTTTCTTTCAAATTGCAGTTCTAATGTTCCTTCCCTTCTCTTTAAATTTAGTTCACCAATAATGAGCACCTGCTATGTTCAAGGAGACTGGGCTAGGGACTGGGGAGAGAAGACAAACCACACCAAACAGCCTCTGCCCTCAGGGAGCTTACATTCTGTTGTGTGTGTACAATGACAACGTAATAATCGCTAGCATTTATAGAGTACTTTCACGTTTACAAAGTGCTTTAGAAATGTCTCATTTGATCTTCATAACAACCTTGGAAGACATGTGCTATTATTACCCCCATTTTACAGATAGGAATTTGAGGCTGAAAGAGGTGAAGCAATTTGCCCAGAGTTACACAACTAGGCAGAGTCTGAGGCTAGATTTGAACTCGAGTCTTTCTAACTCAGGATTGAGAGCTCTATCCACTGAGCCATTCCAAAGGGGAGAAAACACTCAAAGGGAAAGGAATCAAGAAACACTTTGTGTACCAGGTGGCGTGCAGGCCGTGCTTTGCAGGAAGCTGGAGATACTGTGAGGTCAGGGTGAAAAGGGTATTCAGGTATGTGGAGCCACTTGCAAAGGCACATGATGCAGACAGGTATACAATTTTTCCTCCTCTTCATCTGGGAATGGACAGTGTCTTTCTTGTTCAGTCATTTTTCAGTTGTATCTAACTCTTGTGACCCCATTTGGGGTTTTCTTGGCAGAGACACTGGAATGGTTTGCCATTTCCTTCCTCCAGCTAATTTTACAGATGAAGAAACTGAGGCAGACAGGGTGAAATGACTTGTCCAGGGTCTCACGGCTAGTAAGTATCTGAGGCTGAATATGAAGTCAGTCACTCTACCTATTGTGCCACCTAGCTGCCCATACAGAGTCTTATCTTGTCCCAAATTTATCCAATATGGTAGATAGACATGTTTGAAGGCTCTCCTTGTGAGAAGTGGTTTGAGTGAGTTTGCCTGGTCTCTGGTATTGATTGTAGGGATTCTGAACCTTTTTTTGTGTGCATCTGGGTCCCTTGGTCCAGACATATAGTGATCTGATGAAGCCCATGGACCCCTTCGCAGAATCATGTTTTTAAATGCAGAAAATAAAATGCAAAGGATTACAAAGGAAGCCAATTATCTTAAGAAATAGTTATCTATATCTATACATATTTTAAAAATGCAAGGACCCCAGGTTAAGAACCCCTGTGAGAGGCAGTGTGGCCTAGTAGATAGGGAACTGGCCTCAGAGAGAAGCGCTGGGTTCCTCTGACACCTCTGACATAGGCTGGCTGTGCCACCCTGTACCAGTCCCTTCAGTGCTCAGTGCCCTCAAGCACCTCCAAGATGGAAAGTGACAGAGCAGGCTTTACCTGCATTGGCTGAGGGAGTCTGATCCCTAGGAATTCCCTACACCATGAGTGAAATCCCCCTCGGGCAGTGAAAGAACTGATTCTAAAACAGAGCCTGATTTGGTCCTACCCCAGGAAGGCTAGCGTTTCCTTCTGCTTCCCTAGAAACAGTGGAGGAAGGGAGAGTATCCTTGTCGCCTGAGGAGCAGAGGAAGAGAGACTTGGGAAGGTTTCTTCACAGGAAGAGAGACTTGGGAAAGTTTCTTCCCAGGCTGTCTCTGAGCCTGTCTGCTCTGATGCATCCATTTCCCATCATATGGCCCACCCTGACCACCCATCTAAGTGGCATTGGGAGAGGGCAGGAAAGCAGCCTGGGGGGATGATGGTTAGGTTGCTTGGGGTCTGCCCTGCATCCTCGTTCACAGGCTCTGTCTTCTGGAAGCTCAGGTGCTGGGTTAGAGCTGCTGCCCTAGATAAGCCTCACCCATTTTATTGCACCCTTTGTGTGCGGGTCCTGGAGTATTAGCAACTCAGCCACGAGCCCTGTACCTGGGCATGGTCCTCTCTCCCTCCCAGTGACCTCCCAGGAAGGAGATCCCTAGAGGGCTTTGGGTTTCCATTCCCTTCATGTCACATGCCAGACCTGGATGACACCTTAGCTGCTATAGTCTCTGTTAGTGCCCCCCTCCCCTCCCATTCCCGAAGCACACACAACCCACAGCCACTGTCCCTGCTTCTGCCTCTAGAACTTACAGGGCTCCAGATTGCTCCCAGCAGTACTGGAATCCCCACTAGTCATTTCCTGTGTTGCCTGTGGCCCAAGGAGAGAAACCGAAAGCACAAAAGGCATCTAGGGCTTGGAGATGCAGGCTACATCACAGTATCTATTCATTCATTCATTCATTCATTTATTTATTTATTCATTCATTTACTTATTCATTCATTCATTCATTCACTCACTCATTTATTTATTTGCTCACTCACCCATTTATTTATTTATTTATTCGCTCACTCATTCATTCACTTATTTATTTATTTATTTATGTATTCATTCATTCATTCATTCATTTATTTATAAATCTATCTATCTATCTATCTATCTATCTATCTATCTATCTATCTATCTATCTATCTATCTATTTATTTTTTGCAAGGCGATCGGGGATAAATGACTTGTGCAGGGTCACACGGCTAGTGAGTATCATGTGTCTAAGGCCGGATTTGAAGTCAGGTCCTCCTGACTCCAGGGTCGGTGCTCCATCCACTGCACCACCTAGCTGCCCCATTGCAGTATTTATTAAGCTCCTATTGTGTACTAGGCTCTGTACTAGGCACCAGGCATGCAAAGAAATAAAATTGGTCCTATACTCAAAGGAATTTACATTCTAACCAAGTACTCGCTCTCCCTTTCATGCATATGTAGCCATCATAGCGTTACTAGGGCAGGGGCAGTGGAAGGAAAATCCCCTCCTTCCCCCAGTCCAGGAAGACATTTTCCTGCAAAAGTATAGCTCCCTGTCTGGGGCTGACTTTTCTTTCAGTTGCTTCTTCTGAAGTTCCTGAAAGTGTTCTCTGCTCACAAGCTCAGATGAGCAAACCCTTTAAAAAGTTGGGCAAAACTAGCTCTCAGGTAGAGTCTGTTCATGGATGCATCAGTGCAAAAGGGCAGCCAGGCCACTAAGACTTTTTCTAGCTGCTGATCTGAGCCTTGGAGAAAGCTAGGGACTGATTTTTAAGAGATGGAGTTGAGGACAAGTGGATTCCAGGCATGAAGGGCAGCCAGGGTAAAAGTACCAAGATGGCAGACGCAGTGCTGAATTTGAAGACCATTTGGCTGGCAAGTAGAGCATATGGAGGTCAGTGAGTGATGTACAGTCTGCTTGCAAAGAAGGGCTGGAGCCAGATTGTGAAGAGCCTCAAATGCCAAGCTGAGGAGCTTCTAGTTAGGCTACCTTGGAGGTAATAGGGAGCCAGGAAAGTTTCTTGAGCAGTGAACTGACCTGATCAGATCTTTGCTTTAGGATGATGATTTTGGCCACTGCTTGGAGAAGACTAGAAACTGGAAGTCTAATTAGCAGGATGTTGTGACAGTTGAGGTCATGGCTCCTGAGTCTCTGAATCTGAGTGACAATCCTGTAGGTGGATGGAAAGGGGTAAACAAGAGAGCTGTCATGGTGGCACATGTCAGTAGATTGGATCTGGGGATGGGGGTGGGAGACAGGTAAGAGTGTAGGATAATAGGGACCTGAAGCATAAGGACAGTGATGTCCTCAGCAGACATAGAGAGTTTGGAGTAGTAGTGCTTTAGAGAAGGAATTTAATGAATAATTTCCATTTGGGATATGTTGAGCTTGACAGGATAATGATATGATGGTATAACCAGGTGGAGATGTCCAACAGCTGGTTGGGTAAACAAAAGGGT